CCATGGTAAGAGTCATGGTAAGAGCTATGGCCGTGGTAAGAGTCATGGTAAGAGTTACTGCCATGGTAAGAGTCATGGTAAGAGCTATGGCCGTGGTAAGAGTCATGGTAAGAGTTACTGCCATGGTAAGAGTCATGGTGGGAGCTATGGCCATGGTAAGAGTCATGGTGGGAGCTATGGCCATGGTAAGAGTCATGGTGAGAGCTATGGCCATGGTAAGAGTCATGGCAAGAGCTATGGCCGTGGTAAGAGTCATGGTAAGAGTTACTGCCATGGTAAGAGTCATGGTGGGAGCTATGGCCATGGTAAGAGTCATGGTGGGAGCTATGGCCATGGTAAGAGTCATGGTGGGAGCTATGGCCATGGTAAGAGTCATGGCAAGAGTTACTGCCATGGTAAGAGTCATGGTAAGAGTTACTGCCATGGTAAGAGTCATGGTAAGAGTTACTGCCATGGTAAGAGTCATGGTAAGAGTTACTGCCATGGTAAGAGTCATGGTAAGAGTTACTGCCATGGTAAGAGTCATGGTAAGAGTTACTGCCATGGTAAGAGTCATGGTAAGAGTTACTGCCATGGTAAGAGTCATGGTAAGAGTTACTGCCATGGTAAGAGTCATGGTAAGAGCTATGGCCGTGGTAAGAGTCATGGTAAGAGCTATGGCCATGGTAAGAGTCATGGTAAGAGCTATGGCCGTGGTAAGAGTCATGGTAAGAGTTACTGCCATGGTAAGAGTCATGGTAAGAGTTACTGCCATGGTAAGAGTCATGGTAAGAGTTACTGCCATGGTAAGAGTCATGGTAAGAGTTACTGCCATGGTAAGAGTCATGGTAAGAGTTACTGCCATGGTAAGAGTCATGGTAAGAGTTACTGCCATGGTAAGAGTCATGGTAAGAGTTACTGCCATGGTAAGAGTCATGGTAAGAGTTACTGCCGTGGTAAGAGTCATGGTAAGAGTTACTGCCATGGTAAGAGTCATGGTAAGAGTTACTGCCATGGTAAGAGTCATGGTAAGAGTTACTGCCATGGTAAGAGTCATGGTAAGAGTTACTGCCGTGGTAAGAGTCATGGTAAGAGTTACTGCCGTGGTAAGAGTCATGGTAAGAGTTACTGCCATGGTAAGAGTCATGGTAAGAGTTACTGCCATGGTAAGAGTCATGGTAAGAGTTACTGCCATGGTAAGAGTCATGGTAAGAGTTACTGCCGTGGTAAGAGTCATGGTAAGAGTTACTGCCATGGTAAGAGTCATGGTAAGAGTTACTGCCATGGTAAGAGTCATGGTAAGAGCTATGGCCGTGGTAAGAGTCATGGTAAGAGTTACTGCCGTGGTAAGAGTCATGGTAAGAGTTACTGCCATGGTAAGAGTCATGGTAAGAGTTACTGCCATGGTAAGAGTCATGGTAAGAGTTACTGCCATGGTAAGAGTCATGGTAAGAGTTACTGCCATGGTAAGAGTCATGGTAAGAGTTACTGCCATGGTAAGAGTCATGGTAAGAGTTACTGCCATGGTAAGAGTCATGGTAAGAGTTACTGCCATGGTAAGAGCTATGGCCGTGGTGAGAGTCATGGTAAGAGTTACTGCCATGGTAAGAGTCATGGCAAGAGCTATGGCCGTGGTAAGAGTCATGGTAAGAGTTACTGCCATGGTAAGAGTCATGGTAAGAGTTACTGCCATGGTAAGAGTCATGGTAAGAGTTACTGCCATGGTAAGAGTCATGGTAAGAGTTACTGCCATGGTAAGAGTCATGGTAAGAGTTACTGCCATGGTAAGAGTCATGGTAAGAGTTACTGCCATGGTAAGAGTCATGGTAAGAGCTATGGCCGTGGTAAGAGTCATGGTAAGAGTTACTGCCATGGTAAGAGTCATGGTAAGAGTTACTGCCATGGTAAGAGTCATGGTAAGAGTTACTGCCATGGTAAGAGTCATGGTAAGAGTTACTGCCATGGTAAGAGTCATGGTAAGAGTTACTGCCATGGTAAGAGTCATGGTAAGAGTTACTGCCATGGTAAGAGTCATGGTAAGAGTTACTGCCATGGTAATTCATGGTAAGAGTTACTGCCATGGTAAGAGTCATGGTAAGAGCTATGGCCGTGGTAAGAGTCATGGTAAGAGTTACTGCCATGGTAAGAGTCATGGTAAGAGCTATGGCCGTGGTAAGAGTCATGGTAAGAGTTACTGCCATGGTAAGAGTCATGGTAAGAGCTATGGCCGTGGTAAGAGTCATGGTGGGAGGTATGGCCATGGTAAGAGTCATGGTAAGAGTTACTGCCATGGTAAGAGTCATGGTAAGAGTTACTGCCATGGTAAGAGTCATGGTGGGAGCTATGGCCATGGTAAGAGTCATGGTAAGAGCTATGGCCGTGGTAAGAGTCATGGTAAGAGTTACTGCCATGGTAAGAGTCATGGTAAGAGCTATGGCCGTGGTAAGAGTCATGGTAAGAGCTATGGCCGTGGTAAGAGTCATGGTAAGAGTTACTGCCATGGTAAGAGTCATGGTAAGAGTTACTGCCATGGTAAGAGTCATGGTAAGAGCTATGGCCGTGGTAAGAGTCATGGTAAGAGTTACTGCCATGGTAAGAGTCATGGTAAGTTACTGCCATGGTAAGAGTCATGGTAAGAGCTATGGCCGTGGTAAGAGTCATGGTAAGAGTTACTGCCATGGTAAGAGTCATGGTAAGAGTTACTGCCATGGTAAGAGTCATGGTAAGAGTTACTGCCATGGTAAGAGCTATGGCCGTGGTAAGAGTCATGGTAAGAGTTACTGCCATGGTAAGAGCTATGGCCGTGGTAAGAGTCATGGTAAGAGTTACTGCCATGGTAAGAGCTATGGCCGTGGTAAGAGTCATGGCCGTGGTAAGAGTCATGGCCGTGGTAAGAGTCATGGCCGTGGTAAGAGTCATGGTAAGAGCTATGGCCGTGGTAAGAGTCATGGTAAGAGTTACTGCCATGGTAAGAGTCATGGTAAGAGTTACTGCCATGGTAAGAGTCATGGTAAGAGTTACTGCCATGGTAAGAGTCATGGTAAGAGTTACTGCCGTGGTAAGAGTCATGGTAAGAGTTACTGCCATGGTAAGAGTCATGGTAAGAGTTACTGCCATGGTAAGAGCTATGGCCGTGGTAAGAGTCATGGTAAGAGTTACTGCCATGGTAAGAGCTATGGCCGTGGTAAGAGTCATGGCCGTGGTAAGAGTCATGGCCGTGGTAAGAGTCATGGCCGTGGTAAGAGTCATGGCCGTGGTAAGAGTCATGGCCGTGGTAAGAGTCATGGCCGTGGTAAGAGTCATGGCCGTGGTAAGAGTCATGGCCGTGGTAAGAGTCATGGCCGTGGTAAGAGTCATGGCCGTGGTAAGAGTCATGGCCGTGGTAAGAGTCATGGCCGTGGTAAGAGTCATGGCCGTGGTAAGAGTCATGGCCGTGGTAAGAGTCATGGCCGTGGTAAGAGTCATGGCCGTGGTAAGAGTCATGGCCGTGGTAAGAGTCATGGCCGTGGTAAGAGTCATGGCCGTGGTAAGAGTCATGGTAAGAGTTACTGCCATGGTAAGAGCTATGGCCGTGGTAAGAGTCATGGTAAGAGTCATGGTAAGAGTCATGGTAAGAGTCATGGTAAGAGTCATGGTAAGAGTCATGGTAAGAGTCATGGTAAGAGTCAGCTGTCGGGGTAGAAGACCGATGGCTGGAGGCGAGTTCACCCCTGAAAACCCCCCGGGGTAGAACCGGCGGCGTTCACAGCGAAATCCGCTCGGTAGAGAACTCTCGGCTCGAAGCGCCGAGGTGGTGGGATGGTGGCGGGGGGGGTGAGGTGGGGTGAGGTGGGGGGTGAGGTGGGGTGAGGTGGGGTGAGGTGGGGGGAAAGGATAGGGGGGGGTGGGGTAAAATTTACCGAGACAGAGAAATTCACCCGGGGGGGGAAGGGGTTGGGGTCAGGGTACGGGTTGACCTCGCAGAGGTCACCGCCAGCATCAGCAGCAGTGATCGCGTGCTAAGTGGCTACTGGCCGCGGGTGGGTGGGTGAGTGGGTGGGTGGGTGAGTGGGTGAGTGGGTGGGTGAGCGAGTGGGTGAGTGGGTGGGTGAATGGGTGAGTTGGTGGGTGGGCGAGCGAGTGGGCGAGTGGGTGAATGGGTGAGTGAGTGGGCGGGTGAGTGGGCGGGTGGGTGAGTGGGCGAGTGAGTGGACGGGTGGGTGAATGGGTGAGTTGGTGGGCGAGTGGGTGGGTGAGTAGGTGTGTGAGTGGGCAAATGATTGGGTGAGTGGGTGGGTGGGCGAGTGATTGGGTGAGTTGGTGGACGAGTCGGTGAGTGGGCGAGTGGGCGGGTGAGTGGGTGAGTGGGCGAGTGAGTGGGTGGAGTCTGTGGAGGGTGAGTGGGTGAACGCGTTGGGGAGTTCGTGGGTAAGTGGGTGAGGAGATTGTGTGTGTGCGTGTATGTTGAACTTCTTTCACACAGTATGTAGCCAACCATTGCTATTCGGAGGTGAACCTTGGCCCTCTCGCGAGGGGGGGATCTTCTGGCCTGCGTGGGGTGCAGGGCGGGTGGGTGGATGAGTGAGTGGTGAGTGGGTGGGTGAGTGGGTGGGTGAGTGGGTGGGTGAGTGGGTGGGTGAGTGAGCGAGCGATTTGGTGGTTGAGTGAGTGGGTAGGTAGGTGAGCGAGCGAGCGAGTGGTTGAGCAAGTGACCGATTGGGTGGTTGAGCGAGTGGGTGAGTGGTTAAGTGGATGAGTGAGTGAACAATTGGGTGGTTGAGTGGGTAGGTAGGTGAGCGAGCGAGTGGGAGTAGTCGAGAGGATTCAATTGCTCAATCACTCAGTAATGTATATGTACACACACACACTACACGTGTTTACACACGCACGCGCGCGAAAAAGAACACGACAGCCAAACATTGTTAACTTGTAAAGGTGAAATTTATAGTCGGTCCATTAAAAAAGCAGCCGGCTACACCCAGATAAGAGACAAAACCCAACACCGCCACCACCGCCACCACACCCACCCAACCCAACCCACATGCCAACACCTTGGCACGAACAGCAATACCAAGGCGGTCAGCAAACAAACCAAACCCCGAGAGTTTAAAAACATCCACAGGCAATTGTTGCACAAATCGGCTGCTGTGCCACCACCTTCTTCGCCGGAGGTGCCAAGGAGCCGTCCATAAATGACGTCACGCAATTTTTGAACGATTTTTGACTCTCGAAAAGTCAGACCCCCCCTCCCCCCCACCACCACCTCAAATATGACATCACAAAAACTCTGCCCTCACCCTCGGCAAACAAAAAAATCGTTTTAAACTATTGTTGTAATTGCAGTGCGTGTTTAATGTGGCGCTGCAACTCGGATGTTGTAGGAGAAAACATTTATCGAAAAGTCTATTCAGTTAAGTGGAACGTGTCGTGCGTATTTATTTAAAGTTGCAGCATTTTTACGTGACGTCACATTTCTCAAACTTCCCCCCCCCCCTCGTCACACATCGTCACAAATGTCTGACCCCCCCCCCACCCCTCCTCAGGTGCGTGACGTCATTTATGGACGGCCCATATGGGGGGCTACTCCTTGTCGCCCACCCACGGGGTAGGAGTGAGTGAGATGGAACAGATGGAGATTAGTCCACCCACGGGGTAGCAGGGAGTGAGATTTGTCCACACACGGGGTAGAAAGGAGCGAGATGGAACAGATGGAGATTAGTCCACACACGGGGTAGAAGTGAGCGAGATGGAACAGATGGAGATTAGTCCACACACAGAGTAGAAGGGAGTGAGATGGAACAGATGAGATTAGTCCACCAAAAGGGTAGAAGGGAGCGAGATGGAACAGATGGAGATTAGTCCACCCACGGGGTAGAAGGGAGCGAGATGGAACAGATGGAGATTAGTCCACCCACGGGGTAGCAGGGAGCGAGATGGAACAGATGGAGATTAGTCCACACACAGGGTAGAAGGGAGCGAGATGGAACAGATGGAGATTAGTCCACCCAAAGGGTAGAAGGGAGTGAGATGGAACATATTGAGATTTGTCCACCCACAGGGTAGAAGGGAGCGAGATGGAACAGATGTAGATTAGTCCACCCACGGGGTAGAAGGGAGCGAGATGGAACAGATGGAGATTAGTCCACCCAAAGGGTAGAAGGGAGTGAGATGGAACATATTGAGATTTGTCCACCCACAGGGTAGAAGGGAGCAAGATGGAACAGATGTAGATTAGTCCACCCACGGGGTAGAAGGGAGTGAGATGGAACAGATGGAGATTAGTCTACTTTGCTGCCATGCCACCGATCTGGCAAGGCCAGGAGGGCATGACTCCTCATGGACACCCACTCACAGGGCACAGGCGCCATGGAATGGCGGTTGTTGTTGTTGTTGTTGTGTCAGTATTACCTGTTGTGTGTGTGTGTGTGTGCGCGTCTGGCCCTTACGACAACAAATCTGCCTGGGCTGGCGGCGGCGGCGGCGTTTCGTGCCACCCCCTCCGTCAGGCCCTCACCACGGCCTTGCCCACGTTTTCGCCGCGCAGGAGGCCCATGAAAGCGTCGGGCATGGCGGAGAAACCCTCGGTGACGGTCTCACGATACTGCAGCTTGCCCTGCGACAGGTGAGGGTACAAGTGGGTGTAGAGATGAGTGGGGGGCACAGGTGGTGTACACAGGTGAGTAAGCGAGTGTATAGGTTAGCGGGTGTACAGGTAAGCGAGTGTGTGTACAGGTGAGTAAGCGAGTGTACAGGTGAGTAAGCGAGTGTATAGGTTAGCGGGTGTACAGGCGAGCAAGTGTGTGTACAGGTGAGCGAGTGAACAGGTGAGTATGTGTACAGGTGAGCGAGTGTGTGTACAGGCAAGCATGTGAACAGGTGAGCGAGTGTACAGGTGAGTGTGTGTACAGGTGAGCGTGTATGTGTACAGGTGAGTAAGCGAGTGTACAGGTGAGCGAGTGTGTGTACAGGCAAGTAAGCGAGTGTACAGGTGAGTATGTGTACAGGTGAGCGAGTGTGTGTACAGGTGAGCGAGTGAGTGTACAGGTGAGTAAGCGAGTGTACAGGTGAGCGAGTGTGTGTACAGGTGAGTGAGCGTGTGAACAGATGAGCAAGTGTGTGTACAGGTGAGTAAGCGAGTGTACAGGTGAGCGAGAGTGTGTACAGGTGAGTGAGCGTGTGAACAGATGAGCAAGTGTGTGTACAGGTGAGTAAGCGAGTGTGTGTACAGGTGAGTAGGTGAGTGTACAGGTGAGCGAGTGTGTGTACAGGTGAGTAAGCGAGTGTACAGGTGAGCGAGTGTGTGTACAGGTGAGTGGGGAGCGGTAGTGTAGCGGTTAAAGCTACACTGCGCTATGAACCCGGCGACCCGGGGTTCGATTCCCGCTCACGGCCAACACCCAGTGACGATTATCTGAACCGGTCTCGGGCCTCCCCTAGGTCGACTCAGCCTCAAATGAGTACCCGGTGTGGTGTGTAAACCTCGCCACTGGGGAGACAAAGGCGGCCGGGCGTGGTGCTGGCCACCCACCCCCTCGTGTACCGTTCCGGCCTTCATAGGTGCTCCCTAACAGCAATTGCCCCTACAGTCTGTTAAGGCTATAATGGGGATCTTTGTTTGATCTTTGTATCTTTGTACAGGCGAGTGTGTGTGTGTGTGTGTACAGGTGAGCGGGTGTACAGGCGAGTTTGTCAATCTATTATATGTCTGTGTATATATGTGTGTCTCTGCGCGAGGTCTACGGGTCTCTCTGCCCGGAGAGGAAAATAAACGGGATACATTTTTTTTTAACAGTATCAAAGCGTGGAAAATATAATTTGTGGCAACATCTACAACCAGACTGCTTAGAGACCTGGGAATTAAGGGCCAGAGCCAGCGTTCGGCAATCAAAGCTGTATCGGAGGCGGCAGAAGGCAGCAGTCAGTGGCTCTGGATGAAGAGGAAAGACCCCAGCTGGGCCCCAAAGTGAGAGGGCCAGGAGGTATGCAGTCAACAATGCTTGACTCAGGGAGGAGGACGCCCCTGCCATGCATAGTCCCATGGGATGTTGGCTACCAACAAGGCAACTCCTATGACTAATTGGGAATGGGACGCAAGCGTAGGATTGATCACCCTGTCGCTGGCCGCCTTTGGGGAGGGTGTATAGTATGAAAGGCCGAAACACCCTGGGAACCAAAGGGTCACTACTGACGATGCGCTCCCCAAATTTCACCAGGCCGCTCACTGTTCATGAACTCTTGGAAGTGCTTGCACAAAGGATAGTAACATCTCATCCTGTGTTCTTTGGAACCCTTACCTGGCAATAAAACAGGAGTTGTGCTAAGATTTTGAAACGCCAAATTATAAACCTTTTTTGCAAGAAACCAAGTAACTGCGTTAATCACACGCAGTGCGCTTGTGGTGAACACGCAAAACCCCGCACGGCTTCGATGATATACGATGAATTTGTCTCGTCAGTTTAAGTCGACCGGTATAATAATAACACATTATGAGTTTACACTACGAGACCTCCTTTACCATTGGCAAAATATAGTGATAGGTTTTTACCTTTTCAACTGGTACAAAAACTGCCACCTGGTAAAGATGTCTCAGTGTGTAAATGGTTACCCCGAGCTCTCAATACTCTGATGGTGCGCTGTCTTTGAGTTGTACGCCTTTTGGCGTCATCTGACACCTTTTTTTTACAACACTATGTGAGACTAGGCTCTAAGAAAAGCTGTCTCGGGTGTGGACCAATCAACTTCAAGGACAGTGCATACATTATCAGAGTTGTGTTTGTTGTTTGCATTATGACCGCAGCTATTGTGGTCTATGCAAACATGACTCCTTGTAAAAAAGGTGTCAGTTTTGTTGCCAGATAAAAGGGTAAAAAACCAATTATCACATTTTGCTACTGGCAAATGAGGTTCCAATGGTGTAAATTCTTTACCCCGAGCTCTCAATACTCTGATGGTGCATTGTCTTTGAGTTGTGCGCCTTTTGCCGTCATCTGGTCCAACACCATGTGAGACTAGGCTCTAAGAAAAGCTGTCTCGGGTGTGGACCAATCAACTTCAAGGACGGTGCATACATTATCAGAGTTATGTTTTTTGTTTGCATCACGACTGCAGGTATTGTGGTCTATGCAAACATGACTCCTTGTAAAAAAGGTGTCAGTTTTGTTGCCCGATAAAAGGATAAAAAACCAATTATCATATGTTTTATTGGCAAATGAGGTTCCAATAGTGTAAATGCTTAACCCCGAGCTCTCATACTCTGATGGTGCATTGTCTTTGAGTTGTGCGCCTTTTGGCGTCATCTGGTCCAACACCATGTGAGACTAGGCTCTAAGGAAAGCTGTCTCGGGTGTGGACCAATCAACTTCAAGGACAGTGCATACATTATCAGAGTTGTGTTTTTTGTTTGCATTTGTTTTGTTTGCATTACGACTGCAGGTATTGTGGTCTATGCAAACATGACTCCTTGCAAAAAAGGTGTCAGTTCTGTTGCCAGATAAAAGGGTAAAAAACCAATTATCATATTTTTACTGGCAAATGAGGTTCCAATGGTGTAAATTCTTTACCCCGAGCTCTCATACTCTGATGGTGCATTGTCTTTGAGTTGTGCGCCTTTTAAGGTCATCTGGTCCAACACCATGTGAGACTAGGCTCTAAGAAAAGCTGTCTCGGGTGTGGACCAATCAACTTCAAGGACGGTGCATACATTATCAGAGTTGTGTTTTTTGTTTGCAAAGAAAAGTTGTCTCGGGTGTGGACCAATCAACTTCAAGGACGGTGCATACATTATCAGAGTTGTGTTTTTTGTTTGCAAAGAAAAGTTGTCTCGGGTGTGGACCAATCAACTTCAAGGACGGTGCATACATTATCAGAGTTGTGTTTTTTGTTTGCATTACGACTGCAGGTATTGTGGTCAATGCAAACATGACTCCTTGTAAAAAAGGTGTCAGTTTTGTTGCCAGATAAAAGGGTAAAAAAACAATTATCACAACTCCTGCTGCTTATAACACGTGGCAGGCTTTCGCGACCAATATTATTCATAATAAAGGTTTTTGGGTTTAGATCGCGTTATTTATAAATGTGTCGTAACCCTCCACCACCCGACACGGCCAAACAGTAAAAAAAAAAAATGCGTCACGTTTTTCAAACGACAAAATCATTCACTTCTTTAGCCCACGGGTTTGCTGATCTTAAAAGGTGCATTGAAAAATTATAATACTCCGATTGATGCTACTGCTGTTGTGGAGTGACTCATGCAGCCAGCTACGGCTGTAGGGTTTTGGTGGTACATGTTGTTGATGTCGTTTATTGTGAAAATTCCGTCACAGTTCCTATGATCACCGTTTCATTGCTTTATTTTGGTGATTTCGAAAAGTTCACTAAAAGTTGACTATTTCAAAAATATGAATATTGGCCATGCTTGTTTGTTGTAGTACGGAGTAAGACTGATGGCCTTAATCTAAGTTGTCTTGCGGTTGTTGTTGTTGTTGTTTGACTTGCATCCCACTGGGATTTTTGCACACAGCGTTGGTGTACGGTGTTTTTTCTGCAACAGTTTGCTGTCTTTTCTTGGATTTTCTGTTTGCACTTAGTCACATATTCACTTTAAGATGTTTTCTTGTTCACGTTTTTGTTTTTTGTTTGTTGCGATTGCACCCGATTCAAGAGCCGAATGGCTCACAGGGCTATAGAAAATAAATGAACTTGAACAGCATTTTAAAATTTGAGTACGACGTTTCGCTGGCAACTACAATCAGCTTCAATCGGGCAAGAATGGTGAAGCTCTCCTGTTACTCCCGGCCTTAATTAGAGCAGCATCAGCAGCAGGGTGACATCATCATTTAATTCTGTTTCATTGCTAGAAAAGGGTCAAATCTATTCTGATGCTTCCATGCCCCGATAGAGTTTGTAATATTTATTACGTGTGCACCACCACCACCCACCACCACTACCACTACCACCACTACCACTACCACCACTACCACTACCACCACTACCACTACCACCACCCACTACCACCCACCACCCACCCACTACCACCATCCACTAAGGTTTCTGCGTACGAGGCTCGATCCGGGGTTTGTAGACCCAGAAGCTTCAGGGCAGAATACGGAAGCCATTTTAACTCGTCTGCTGCACTATGGCGCCATCTGTGGGTCCGTGTTGAGTCTGTGGGTAGTGTTGAGTCTATGGTGCAGTGTTGAGTCTATGGTGCAGTGTTGAGTCTATGGTGCAGTGTTGAGTCTATGGGCAGTGTTGAGTCCATGGGTAGTGTTGAGTCCATGGGTAGTGTTGAGTCCATGGGTAGTGTTGAGTCTATGGTGCAGTGTTGAGTCTATGGTGCAGTGTTGAGTCTATGGGCAGTGTTGAGTCTATGGGCAGTGTTGAGTCTATGATGCAGTGTTGAGTCTATGGTGCAGTGTTGAGTCTATGGTGCAGTGTTGAGTCTATGGGTAGTGTTGAGTCTATGGTGCAGTGTTGAGTCTATGGTGCAGTGTTGAGTCTATGGGGCAGTGTTGAGTCTATGGGGCAGTGTTGAGTCTGTGGGTAGTGTTGAGTCTATGGTGCAGTGTTGAGTCTATGGTGCAGTGTTGAGTCTGTGGGTAGTGTTGAGTCTATGGTGCAGTGTTGAGTCTATGGTGCAGTGTTGAGTCTATGGTGCAGTGTTGAGTCTATGGTGCAGTGTTGAGTCTATGGGTAGTGTTGAGTCTATGGTGCAGTGTTGAGTCTATGGTGCAGTGTTGAGTCTATGGGGCAGTGTTGAGTCTATGGGCAGTGTTGAGTCTATGGGCAGTGTTGAGTCTATGATGCAGTGTTGAGTCTATGGGCAGTGTTGAGTCTATGGTGCAGTGTTGAGTCTATGGTGCAGTGTTGAGTCTGTGGGTAGTGTTGAGTCTGTGGGTAGTGTTGAGTCTATGGTGCAGTGTTGAGTCTATGGTGCAGTGTTGAGTCTATGGTGCAGTGTTGAGTCTATGGTGCAGTGTTGAGTCTATGGTGCAGTGTTGAATCCGTGGGGCAGCGTCGAGTCCGTGGGGCAGTGTCAAGTCTATTGCACTTGCCCCAGCAATCTGTTACACCGGGCACCTTTGTCTTTGTCAACTACCTCACCTGGTTGTGGGTTCAATCCCAGACCCTGACGATGCCTGCTGCTGTACATTTGGAGTCTGCGTCTCTCTCATCATCATCATTACGGTGGCTGGGAGATGTTAACTACCTCTCCCGGTATACAGGAGGTCATTGGTTCAATCCTGACCCTTGATGCCTGCAGTATACATTTGGAGTCTGCGTCTCTCTCATCATCATCATCACGGTGGCTGGGAGATGTTAACTACCTCTCCCGGTATACAGGAGGTCATGGGTTCGATCCAGACCCTTGATGTCTGCAGTATACATTTGGAGTCTGCGTCTCTCTCATCATCATCATTACGGTGGCTGGGAGATGTTAACTACCTCGCCTGGTATACAGGAGGTCGTGGGTTTAATCCAGACCCTTGATGTCTATATTTGGAGTCTGCGTCTCTCTCATCATCATCATGGTGGCTGGGAGATGTTAACTCCCTCACCTGGTATACAGGAGGTCATGGGTTCGATCCAGACCCTTGATGCCTGCAGTATACATTTGGAGTCTGCGTCTCTCTCATCATCATCATTACGGTGGCTGGGAGATGTTAACTACCTCTCCCGGTATACAGGAGGTCAATGGATTCAATCCAGAATCTTGATGTCTACATTTGGAGTCTGCGTCTCTCTCGCTCCATCTCCCCGTGGATTATTTTTCTTTCGTGTGGATCACTGGCGGGGAGGCATTGGGGTGGGTTCTCTCACCTCCTTCACCCAGGCGGCGAGCGCTGCGATGCCCTCGTCACGCCGGTCCTGCCACCTCGTCACCATGAAGCCCTCCAGCTTCAGTTCCTTGAAGATGAGCGTCAGCTGCGGGAAGGTCACTGGGCGAAAGGCGACACACAGACGTCGGTCTTCCCCGCCATCACAGTCCCCGGTGGCGGCGATTCCGATTGGTCCACACTAAGAACCGCCCCACACACCGATTACAGTTTTTGTTGACCAGTGTTATAATGTAACTGTAGTGCTATGCACCATTGGAACTTCATTTGCCAGTAAAAAAATATAATTGTTTTTTTTTACCCTTCTATCTGGCTACAAAACTGACACCTTTTTTTACAACACCATGTGAGACTAGGCTCTAAGGAAAGCTGTCTCGGGTGTGGACCAATCAACGTCAAGGACAGTGCATATCATTATCAGAGTTGTGTTTTTTGTTTGCATTATGACTGCAGGTATTGTGGTCAATGCAAACATGACTCCTCGTAAAAAAGGTGTCAGTTATTTTGCCAGATAGAAGGGTAAAAAAACAATTATCATACAGTGGTACCGATTTCTGATTGGTCCACACGAGAACCGCCCCAACCCAGTGGCGCTGATTTCCGATTGGCCGGGGAGTCATCCACTCACGCTTCTGCGACGTGGCGTCATTGTACATGGAGATCCCTCCGCAGATGGAGACACGGCCCCGGTGCTTCATGTGGGACAGAGCGGCGCAGAGGAAATCCCCTCCAACCTTCACAACAGCCACAGGTCACCACAACAATCTTCAAAATAACCAAGATGACGACACAAACGATAACGACTCCGCGAAAACAGCATCAACATCAATCAGGGAGATGTGCGGACACAATGGCGATATGTGGGGGGGGGGGGGGGGGGGAGGAGACGGGGGGGGGGGGGGGGGAGACGCGGGGGGAGACACGGGGGGGGGGGGAGACACGGAGACACGGGCAGAGATGCACAGAGACACGGGGGGAGATGCGGAGACACGGAGAGTCACTGGGGGAGATGGAGACACGGGAAGACACGGAGACACGCAGAGACACACACACACACACGCACGCTCTCACTCACACAGAGGTCACCTCACAGGTCACCGCGCCACCCTCAGGCACTCACGTTGTCGAAGAAGCAGTGGTAGCCGCCGGGGGCGGCCTCCCCCAGGGCCGCGTCCACGGAGGCCACCGTGCGGTAGTTGAGCGCCGAGTCGAAGCCGAGCTCCTTGAGGAGCGCCACCTTCGCGTCGGAGCCCGCAAAGCCCACCACTCGGCAGCCCTGGCACGGGGGGGGGGGGGGGGGGAGACACGTGGGGGGGGGGGGAAGGGGGGGGAGACAGGTGAGAGGGGGGGAGACACGTGAGAGGGGGGGGGAGTGGGGGACACGTGAGGGGGGGGGGGGGGGGAGTGGGAGACACGTGAGGGGGGGGGGGAGACACGTGAGGGGGGGGGAGACACGTGAGGGGGGGGGGAGACACGTGAGGGGGGGGGAGACACGTGAGGGGGTGGGGGAGAGACGGGGGGGAGGGGTGGGAAGACACGTGAGGGGGGGGGGGGAGACACGTGAGGGGGGGGGAGACACGTGAGGGGGGGGGAGACACGGGAGGGGGGGGGAGACACGTGAGGGGGGTGGGGGAAGAGACGGGGGGGGGAGACACGTGGGGGGAGGGGTGGGAAGACACGTGAGGGGGGGGGGGGCAGGTGAGGGGGGGGGGGAGACAGACACAGGGAGACGCGTGTTGGGGGTGGAAGAGACGCGTGGCGGGACGCGCGCTCACCTTGATCTTGGCAATCTGCCCCACCAGCATCCCCACCGCCCCGGCCGCCCCGTTCACGAGGACCGTCTCACCAGCCACGGGATTGCAGATCTCGAGCAGGCCGAAGTAGGCGGTCAGCCTGCGAACGTCCCCACGTGGTTCCACCAGCAACAACAACAACAACAACAAAAGGCAAAGATCCCCCGTATAGCCTTGGGCTGTTTGGGAGCAAGTGCCACCGTGTAGCCCGTAACAGACTTCTTGATTCTTTCGGTAAAGTCACGTAGAAGGGGAATACTAAAATAATAAACTAATAAAAGTCACGTAGGTAAATAAGTATAACCAGTAAAAACAAAGTTTTTCACTATAAATCCTTTATATGCGTGGCAGCGAACTTAATATTAAGGATTTATAAATATATTCGCCTGTGGAGGACGCGGGGATCGATCCCGCGACCTTTGGCATGGGAAGCGAGGGCGCTACCAACTGCGCTACTCCGCCACGGCCTGTGGAGGGGTTACGCTCTGGGCTCTTACACTCTGACGTTCAGCCAAAGCCATGAATGCGTTCTATTTGAATATATGTAAAATAATTTTTTTTTGCCTAAAAAGTGTAAAATTAATTGTCTGGCACAACGAGTCTGTGTGGAAAATGTCAGCTCGATTGGATCACGGGAAGTGGGTTAAAAAACGACCGAAAGATTTGCACGGTCGTAAGCAAGCAAGCACGCAAGCACGCAAGCAAGCAAGCACGCAAGCAAGCGAACTTAATATAAAAGGATTTAAAAATGAGCGAGCGAACCAACTCGTGAGTGAGCGAGCGATCAAGCGAACTAGCGAGTCAGTGAGCGACTGAATGAGCAAGTGTGCGAGTGAGTGAGCGAACGAGCCAGTGAGTGAGCGACTGAACGAGTGAGTGAGCGAGCGACTGAACGAGTGAGTGAGCGAGCGATCAAGCGAGTCAGTGAGTGACTGAATGAGCAAGTGTGCGAGTGAGTGAGCGAGCATGCCAACGAGCGAGCGACTGAACGAGCGAGCGACTGAACGAGCGAGCGACTGAACGAGCGAGCGACTGAACGAGCGAGCGACTGAACGAGCGAGCGACTGAACGAGCGAGCGACTGAACGAGCGAGCGAGCGTTTGGAGCTGGTTACCCGGGCATGCCCAGCACCCCCAGGGCGAGGGAGTGAGACAGCTCCACGGGCCACGATGCCGGCAGGACCTGGAGGCCGTCCCCCGTGGAGATGGAGTGGCTAATGAGCGAGCGAGCGAACGTGAGCGCGAGGCACTGAGCAAACCAACTAGTGAGTGAGTGAGCGAGTGAGGGAGCGAGCCAACAGTGCGTGAGCCAATGAGTGAGCGAGTCTGCAAACGACTGAACGAGTGAGCGATCAAGCGATCAAGCGAACGAGTGAGTCAGTGAGTGACTGAATGAGCACGTGTGCAAGCGAGCGAGCCAGTGAGTGAGTGAGTGAGCGACTGAACGAGTGAGCGAGTGAGCTAGCGATCAAGCGAGTCAGTGAGCGACTGAATTAGCAAGTGTGCGAGTGAGTGAGCGAGCGACTGAACGAGTAAGTGAGCTAGCGATAAAGCGAATGAGTGAGTCAGTGAGCGACTGAATGAGCGACTGAACGAGGGAGCGAGCGACTGAACGAGTGAGCGAGCTAGCGATCAAGCGAATGAGTGAGTCAGTGAGCGACTGAATGAGCGACTGAACGAGGGAGCGAGCGACTGAACGAGTGAGCGAGCTAGCGATCAAGCGAATGAGTGAGTCAGTGAGCGACTGAATGAGTGACTGAACGAGGGAGCGAGCGACTGAACGAGTGAGCGAGCTAGCGATCAAGCGAATGAGTGAGTCAGTGAGCGACTGAATGAGCGACTGAACGAGGGAGCGAGCGACTGAACGAGTGAGCGAGCTAGCGATAAAGCGAATGAGTGAGTCAGTGAGCGACTGAATGAGCGACTGAACGAGTGAGCGAGCGACTGAACGAGTGATCGAGCTAGCGATCAAGCGATCAAGCGAATGAGTGAGTCAGTGAGCGACTGAATGAGCGACTGAACGAGTGAGCGAGCTAGCGATCAAGCGATCAAACGAATGAGTGAGTCAGTGAGCGACTGAATGAGCGACTGAACGAGGGAGCGAGCGACTGAACGAGTGAGCGAGCTAGCGATCAAGCGATCAAGCGAATGAGTGAGTCAGTGAGCGACTGAATGAGCGACTGAACGAGGGAGCGAGCGACTGAACGAGTGAGCGAGCTAGCGATCAAGCGATCAAGCGAATGAGTGAGTCAGTGAGCGACTGAATGAGCGACTGAACGAGTGAGCGAGCGACTGAACGAGTGAGCGAGCTAGCGATCAAGCGATCAAGCGAATGAGTGAGTCAGTGAGCGACTGAATGAGCGACTGAACGAGGGAGCGAGCGACTGAACGAGTGAACGAACTAGCGATCAAGCGATCAAGCGAATGAGTGAGTCAGTGAGCGACTGAATGAGCGACTGAACGAGTGAGCGAGCGACTGAACGAGTGAGCGAGCTAGCGATCAAGCGATCAAGCGAATGAGTGAGTCAGTGAGCGACTGAATGAGCGACTGAACGAGTGAGCGAGCGACTGAACGAGTGATCGAGCTAGCGATCAAGCGATCAAGCGAATGAGTGAGTCAGTGAGCGACTGAATGAGCGACTGAACGAGTGAGCGAGCGACTGAACGAGTGAGCGAGCTAGCGATCAAGCGATCAAGCGAATGAGTGAGTCAGTGAGCGACTGAATGAGCGACTGAACGAGCGAGCGACTGAACGAGCGACTGAACGAGCGAGCAAGCAGGCGTTTGGAGCTGGTTACCCGGGCATGCCCAGCACCCCCAGGGCGAGGGAGTGAGACAGCTCCACGGGCCACGATGCCGGCAGGGACTGGAGGCCGTCCCCCGTGGAGATGGAGTGGCTAATGAGCGAGCGAGCGAACGTGAGCGCGAGGCACTGAGCAAACCAACTAGTGAGTGAGTGAGCGAGTGAGGGAGCGAGCCAACAGTGCGTGAGCCAATGAGTGAGCGAGTCTGCAAACGACTGAACGAGTGAGCGATCAAGCGATCAAGCGAACGAGTGAGTCAGTGAGTGACTGAATGAGCACGTGTGCAAGCGAGCGAGCCAGTGAGTGAGTGAGTGAGCGACTGAACGAGTGAGCGAGTGAGCTAGCGATCAAGCGAGTCAGTGAGCGACTGAATGAGCAAGTGTGCGAGTGAGTGAGCGAGCGACTGAACGAGTAAGTGAGCTAGCGATAAAGCGAATGAGTGAGTCAGTGAGCGACTGAATGAGCGACTGAACGAGGGAGCGAGCGACTGAACGAGTGAGCGAGCTAGCGATCAAGCGAATGAGTGAGTCAGTGAGCGACTGAATGAGCGACTGAACGAGGGAGCGAGCGACTGAACGAGTGAGCGAGCTAGCGATCAAGCGATCAAGCGAATGAGTGAGTCAGTGAGCGACTGAATGAGCGACTGAACGAGGGAGCGAGCGACTGAACGAGTGAACGAGCTAGCGATCAAGCGATCAAGCGAATGAGTGAGTCAGTGAGCGACTGAATGAGCGACTGAACGAGTGAGCGAGCGACTGAACGAGTGAGCGAGCTAGCGATCAAGCGATCAAGCGAATGAGTGAGTCAGTGAGCGACTGAATGAGCGACTGAACGAGTGAGCGAGCGACTGAACGAGTGAGCGAGCTAGCGATAAAGCGAATGAGTGAGTCAGTGAGCGACTGAATGAGCGACTGAACGAGGGAGCGAGCGACTGAACGAGTGAGCGAGCTAGCGATCAAGCGAATGAGTGAGTCAGTGAGCGACTGAATGAGCGACTGAACGAGGGAGCGAGCGACTGAACGAGTGAGCGAGCTAGCGATCAAGCGAATGAGTGAGTCAGTGAGCGACTGAATGAGCGACTGAACGAGGGAGCGAGCGACTGAACGAGTGAGCGAGCTAGCGATCAAGCGAATGAGTGAGTCAGTGAGCGACTGAATGAGCGACTGAACGAGTGAGCGAGCGACTGAACGAGTGAGCGAGCGAGCGATCAAGCGATCAAGCGAATGAGTGAGTCAGTGAGCGACTGAATGAGCGACTGAACGAGTGAGCGAGCGACTGAACGAGTGAGCGAGCTAGCGATCAAGCGAATGAGTGAGTCAGTGAGCGACTGAATGAGCGACTGAACGAGGGAGCGAGCGACTGAACGAGTGAGCGAGGCTAGCGATAAAGCGAATGAGTGAGTCAGTGAGCGACTGAATGAGCGACTGAACGAGTGAGCGAGCGACTGAACGAGTGAGCGAGCTAGCGATCAAGCGATCAAGCGAATGAGTGAGTCAGTGAGCGACTGAATGAGCGACTGAACGAGGGGAGCGAGCGACTGAACGAGTGAACGAACTAGCGATCAAGCGATCAAGCGAATGAGTGAGTCAGTGAGCGACTGAATGAGCGACTGAACGAGTGAGCGAGCGACTGAACGAGTGAGCGAGCTAGCGATCAAGCGATCAAGCGAATGAGTGAGTCAGTGAGCGACTGAATGAGCGACTGAACGAGCGAGCGACTGAACGAGCGACTGAACGAGCGAGCGGGCGGGCGTTTGGAGCTGGTTACCCGGGCATGCCCAGCACCCCCAGGGCGAGGGAGTGAGACAGCTCCACGGGCCACGATGCCTGCAGGGCCTGGAGGCCGTTCCCCGTGGAGATGGAGTGGCTCCGCCAGCCGGAGTGGCTCACCACGAAGGTGCCGACGGGGAACTCCGCGACCTTGCTCGCCACCACCCTGAACGCCGCCGGGAGGGGGGGGGCAGAGGTCACCCGAGCAGCCTCTCTGTGTGGTGGTAGTGTAGTGTATAGTGTAGTGTATAGTGTAGTGTATAGTGCAGTGTATAGTGTAGTGTATAGTGTAGTGTAGTGTATAGTGCAGTGTATAGTGTAGTGTATAGTGCATAGTGTAGTGTATAGTGTAGTGTATAGTGTAGTGTATAGTGTAGTGTATAGTGCAGTAGTGTATAGTGCAGTAGTGTATAGTGCAGTAGTGTATAGTGCAGTAGTGTATAGTGCAGTAGTGTATAGTGCAGTAGTGTATAGTGCAGTAGTGTATAGTGCAGTAGTGTATAGTGCAGTAGTGTATAGTAGTAGGTATAGTGCAGTAGTGTATAGTGCAGTAGTGTATAGTGCAGTAGTGTATAGTGCAGTAGTGTATAGTGCAGTAGTGTATAGTGTAGTAGTGTATAGTGTAGTAGTGTATAGTGTAGTAGTGTATAGTGTAGTAGTGTATAGTGTAGTAGTGTATAGTGTAGTAGTGTATAGTGTAGTAGTGTATAGTGTAGTAGTGTATAGTGTAGTAGTGTATAGTGTAGTAGTGTATAGTGTAGTAGTGTAGAGTGTGGTAGTGTAGTGTATAGTGTAGAGTGTAGTAGTGTAGAGTGTAGTAGTGTATAGTGTAGAGTATAGTGTAGTAGTGTAGAGTGTAGTAGTGTAGTGTAGAGTGTAGTGTATAGTGCAGTGTATAGTGTAGTAGTGTATAGTGCAGTGTATAGTGCAGTGTATAGTGCTGTAGTGTATAGTGCTGTAGTGTATAGTGTATAGTGCTGTAGTGTATAGTGGTGTATAGTGGTGTATAGTAGTGTAGTAGTGACTAGTGTATAGTGTAGTAGTGTATAGTGTAGTGTATAGTGTAGTAGTGTATAGTGTACAGTGCATAATGTAAACGTTGTGATCTATAAAGGGGCACGGGGTGACCCAAAAAAGGTCCGAATTGGTCTGCAAAGGCAGAGCACTCGTAAGGGGTCGACAGGTAAGTGACGTCGATTGTTGTTGTTGTTAATGTTGTTGTTGTTGTGGATGTTGTGGATGTTGTTGTGGATGTTGTTGTTGTTGTGGATGTTGTTGTTGTTGTAGATGTTGTTGTTGTTGTAGATGTTATTGTTGTTGTGGATGTTATTGTTGTTGTAGATGTTGTTGTTGTTGTAGATGTTATTGTTGTTGTGGATGTTATTGTTGATGTTGTGGATGTTATGGTTGATGTTGTTGTTGTGGATGTTGTTGTTGTGGATGTTATTGTTGTTGTGGATGTTAATGTTGTTGTTGATGTTGTGGATGTTGTTGATGATGTTGTTGATGATGTTAATGTTGATGTTGTTGTGGATGTTATTGTTGTTGTGGATGTTGTTGATGATGATGTTAATGTTGATGTTGTTGTGGATGTTGTTGTGGGCGCTGCTACGGTACTTGGCGACTTGAGAGCCAATCATCACGTCCCCCTCCTTCATTTTCGTCTCGCTGTAGGGCCTGCACAAAGACAAAGGTCCCCCGTGTAGGCTTGACAACGGACCGTCGGGGGGAGGGAAAAGTGCCGCTAGCGAATCGTCGCACCGATGCAGGGCGGTAAAAATGTTGAGTCGTAATAAAGGTTTTTTAATCCTTTATATTAAGTTCGCTCGCTGCTTGCTTGCTTAGGGCCGTGCAAATCTTTCGGTCGTTTTTTAACCCACTTCCCGTGATCCAATCGAGCTGACATTTTGCACACAGACTCGTTGTGCGTGACAATTAATGTTCGTGAAAAAATTTTCCAAAATTTTACACTGTTTAGGAATTTTTTTTTCATATTTTATTTAAAATACCAATGTGATAAAAATGAAACTCTTACTCAAGAAAAACAGAAATGAATAATAAAATAAAACCGATGCCACGCATATAAAGGATGTATAGAGAAAAACTTTGTTTTTACGGGTTAACTTTTTTTTTAATCCTTTATATTAAGTTTGCTTGCTTGCTTAGGGCCGTGCAAATCTTTCGGTCGTTTTTTAACCCACTTCCCGTGATCCAATCGAGCTGACATTTTGCACACAGACTCGTTGTGCGTGACAATTGATGTTCGTGAAATTTTTTCCAAAATTTTACACTGTTTAGGACAAAAATATTATATTTAATTACCAATTGCTTAATGGTGCAATACAATCATCTGACCCATAGGTGGCAGCCATCTCAAGCCAGAGGACGAGAGGACTCTAGCCGCCATGCATATAAAGGATTTAGAGTGAAAAACTTTGTTTTTACAGGTTATACTTGTTCTATCATAAAAAAACATATTTTTTTAAACATTATTTTTTATAGATGTTATGTTTCGGCTTGGGTCTAATTGTCCACGCTCAACTGACGTTGGCTGCAACTGGCCACGGCCCCCTTACGTTATGGCAAGCCTTCGGGGGCCACTTCCTGGAGTCGTGGAGTTCTGGCATTACTACTGTACATTTCATGTTAAAAGCGTGTTTCTAAGAAAGTTTTTTTATAATACAACTTTTTTGGGTTAGATCGCGTTATTTACAAAGTGTCGCAAACCTCCACCACCCGACACGGCCAAATCGGTAAAAACAAAATGTTTGAGAGACGTTGACAAAAGAAAAATAGTTCACCTACTTTAGCCCACAACATTTACGATTTGGAATTTCCGTGACATTTCGCTCGACAATTACATCCAGCATCTTCGGGCGATTTGCCAGAAAACCATCCCTCTTGCTTGCGGTCTTAATAGTGCACGATGAGACGTCATCATTGTTGAACCCCATCAGGATTCGAGATCAGAGGCGGAGGCAGGGGCGTATGCACTTATGTAATAGCTTCAAAATCAAGGATTGAATTATGTAAGAGTAATCCGCCACTTTGCCATGTGACTCACCTGCAAGGAATTGCAATGTGTGTTTGTGTATTACTTAATCATGCGCTTCCAGTCTGCGCCCAGTCTATCGCAGCGAATGCAATCATTTGAATTCTTCACTTTCAATTGATTCTCTAAGTAATCTTGGCCAGTAATAATTAACTTCTTGGTTCTTTCGGTAAAGTCAACACGTAGAAGGGAAGCAATAAAATAATAAAAATAAAACAATAAAATAAAACATAATAAAATTAATAAAATAAAACATTATAAAACTTAATAAAATAAAACATTATAAAATAATAAAAATAAAACTTAATAAAATAAAACATAATAAAATAATAAAATTAAACACGATAAAATAATTCTCACGACGTTTCGGCCACAACGCAAGCAGCCGTCCTCAGGTGAAGACTAAAGGAATATGCAAATTACTTTGTCAAGGCGCCCAGCTTATATATATACGCTCCAAGCCTGGTGGTGTTTCATTCAGACGCTGTCGCCTCGACAGACCTGGTTTTCACCTGAGGACGGCTGCTTGCGTTGTGGCCGAAACGTCGTGAGAATTATTTTATTATGTTTTATTTTTATTATTTTATTACTTCCCTTCTACGTGTTGACTTTACCGAAAGAACCAAGAAGATGAATCCCTGCAGTCACGAAAGCTTTAAATCGAGAATTATTTTATCATGTTTTATTTTTATTATTTTATTACTTCCCTTCTACGTGTTGACTTTACCGAAAGAACCAAGAAGATGAATCCCTGCAGTCACGAAAGAAGCTTTAAATCGAGAATTATTTTATTATGTTTTATTTTTATTATTTTATTACTTCCCTTCTACGTGACTTTACCGAAAGAACCAAGAAGACACCTACAGTTAGCACGGTTGGCTATGTACGCTGTGAAAGACGTTCACACACACACACACACGCATACATGCACCACACCAGGTACTCATTCGAGGCCTGTTCACATATTTCGCTGTTACCGATGCAAGCAGCGATCGAACGCGATTTAATCACAGCTAACTCTGTGGGTCTCTGTGCGATGAGTCTATGGGTCTCCGTGTGGTGAGTCTGTGGGTCTCCGTGTGGTGAGTCTGTGGGTCTCTGTGTGGTGAGTCTGTGGGTCTCTGTGTGGCGAGTCTGTGGGTCGCTGTGCGATGAGTCTATGGGTCTGTGTGGCGAGTCTGTAGGTCTCTGTGGCGAGTCTGTGGGTCTCTGTGTGGCGAGTCTGTGGGTCGCTGTGCGATGAGTCTATGGGTCTGTGTGGCGAGTCTGTGGGTCTCTGTGGTGAGTCTGTGGGTCTCTGTGTGGTGAGTCTGTGGGTCTCTGCGTGGTGAGTCTGTGGGTCTGTGTGGCGAGTCTGTGTGGCGAGTCTGTGGGTCTCTGTGTGGCGAGTCTGTGGGTCTCAGTGTGGCGAGTCTGTGGGTCTCAGTGTGGCGAGTCTGTGGGTCTCAGTGTGGCGAGTCTGTGGATCTCTGTGCGATGAGTCTATGGGTCTGTGTGAAGAGTCTGTGGGTCTCTGTGTGGCGAGTCTGTGGGTCTCCGTGCGACGAGTCTGTGGGTCTCCGTGCCTCCGTGCGACGAGTCTGTGGGTCTCCGTGTGGGGAGTCTGTGGGTCTCAAAGTGCACATAGCCTGGCACAAGCACCGTGGCGATGTCACCACCACTTAGTGGCGAATGGCGGTTGTTGTTGTTGGTACAACTCAACAGCAATTCACAGGACTTTCTCAATCCACTGCTGGATGGTCCAAGCTATGTGCTAGGGCAGCTGAAATCCCTCAGACTTCTGAAACAAAAAAAACCGCCCAACTTCAGCCACAAGCAGGAGGGAGGGGGGGGAAGAGACACTAACCTCATGTACGGATCCACGCTGAGAAACTCCGCCTCCAACAGTAATTCTGTGGAACACCAAGACAAAAGACAAACTCGGCTATTTAGAAAAGAAAAAAACGCCACGATTCAGTATTTATTTAGGCCGTGCAAGTCTATTGCTTTCACTTTGCCGTGCGGCCTTCTAGCTGGCAGAGCCAGTTGGTACTGTGTCTCCTCGACACGCACGCACGGGTAGAAGGGAGTGAGATGGAACAGATGGAGATTAGTCCACGCACGGGTAAGGGAGTGAGATGGAACAGATGGAGATTAGTCCACCCACGGGTAAGGGAGTGAGATGGAACAGATGGAGATTAGTCCACCCACGGGTGTAAGGGAATGAGATGGAACAGATGGAGATTAGTCCACACACGGGTGTAAGGCAGTGAGATGGAACAGATGGAGATTAGTCCACCCACGGCTAGAAGGGAGTGAGATGGAACAGATGGAGATTAGTCCACGCATGTCTAGAAGGGAGCGAGATGGAACAGATGGAGATTAGTCCGCGCACAGGTAGAAGGGAGCGAGATGGAACAGATGGAGATTAGTCCACGCACGGCTAGAAGGGAGCGAGATGGAACAGATGGAGATTAGTCCACGCACAGGTAGAAGGGAGTGAGATGGAACAGATGGAGATTAGTCCACGCACGGCTAGAAGGGAGTGAGATGGAACAGATGGAGATTAGTCTGCACACGGGTAGAAGGTAGTGAGATGGAACAGATGGAGATTAGTCCACCCACGGGTAGAAGGGAGTGAGATGGAACAGATGGAGATTAGTCCACCCACGGGTGTAGAAGAAGATGGAACAGATGGAGATTAGTCCACCCACGGGTGTAGAAGAAGATGGAACAGATGGAGATTAGTCCACCCACGGGTGTAGAAGAAGATGGAACAGATGGAGATTAGTCCACCCACGGGTGTAAGGGAGTGAGATGGAACAGATGGAGATTAGTCCACACACGGCTAGAAGGTAGTGAGATGGAACAGATGGAGATTAGTCTGCACACGGGTAGAAGGTAGTGAGATGGAACAGATGGAGATTAGTCCACCCACGGGTGTAAGATGGACCAGATGGAGATTAGTCCACCCACGGGTGTAAGATGGAACAAATGGAGATTAGTCCACCCATGGGGTAGAAGGGAGTGAGATGGAACAGATGGAGATTAGTCCATGCACAGCTAGAAGGGAGCGAGATGGAACAGATGGAGATTAGTCCACACACAGGTAGAAGGGAGTGAGATGGAACAGATGGAGATTAGTCCACACATGGCTAGAAGGGAGTGAGATGGAACAGATGGAGATTAGTCCACCCACTGGCTAGAAGGGGGCGAGATGGAACAGATGGAGATTAGTCCACCCACAGGGTAGAAGGGAGTGAGATGGAACAGATGGAGATTAGTCCACGCACGGCTAGAAGGTAGTGAGATGGAACAGATGGAGATTAGTCCACCCACAGGGTAGAAGGGAGTGAGATGGATCAGATGGAGATTAGTCCACCCACAGGGTAGAAGGGAGTGAGATGGAACAGATGGAGATTAGTCCACGCACGGCTAGAAGGGAGCGAGATGGAACAGATCGAGATTAGTCCACGCACGGGTAGAAGGGAGTGAGATGGAACAGATGGAGATTAGTCCACCCACGGGTAGAAGGTAGTGAGATGGAACAGATGGAGATTAGTCCACCCACGGGTGTAAGATGGAACAGATGGAGATTAGTCCACCCACGGGTGTAAGATGGAACAGATGGAGATTAGTCCACCCACGGGTGTAAGATGGAACAAATGGAGATTAGTCCACCCACGGGTGTAAGATGGAACAAATGGAGATTAGTCCACCCACGGGGTAGAAGGGAGTGAGATGGAACAGATGGAGATTAGTCCATGCACAGCTAGAAGGGAGCGAGATGGAACAGATGGAGATTAGTCCACGCAAGGCTAGAAGGGAATGAGATGGAACAGATGGAGATTAGTCCACCCACGTTATTGCAAGCTTCGGGGCCACTTCCTGGAGTCGTGGAGTTCTGCCATTACGAGTACATTTCATAAAAGCGTGTTTTTAAAAAAGTTTTTGTAAATATTACTTATTTGTAATAAAAGACTCGACTACGAAATCTGGCTTGGTGTCCTTTATTCGGTTCTTCCTCGTAACCCACACGGCTGTCCTTTTATAAGACTTCTATACCGACACTGATACTGCTGTTAACCCCGTCACGCCAACAGTTCCTCTGTTGGTCTCCCGTTGTCATTGTAGCCTTGCTGGCTGTTATCCTCACGCAGCCCCCACTGGCTGCTCTCTCTGCAGTTTCTCCTCTCGTCGCTCTCGTAGCCTCTCTCTCTCCTCTCGTCGCTCTCGTAGCCTCTCTCACACACAGCCTCGCCGGCTGTGTTCACTGCGGCTCCTCGACCGCCTTCTCTCCAGCAGCCCCACTGCTGTCTTTCTCTCGCAGCTCCGCTGGCTGTTCCCTTAGCTGGCCACCGCTGGCCGCCGTGCCACTCCTCCTGGCTTCGCCCCACGTGGCCTTACTCTGGTCCAGTCTCACTCTCTCTGCCCTCCTCTTCCGGTCTCATCTCTTAAGAACCTTAACCTTGCTCCCACGTCACCTAACTCCACCTCTCCGCGACGTCACATCCGGGAGGTCGCCCGCGCCCGCATTACATATTAAATGGAGGCCACGGACTGCGCCACGGAGCTTTTAGCGGTAAACAAGGCACCGTATTTACCGGGTAATACTTCGAGCTACCTTTACCCTACCGGGCAATTCTTCCGAGCTACCTTTACCCTACCCTTTACCGTACCCCTTGGCATGTCGACACCTTTACCCGAGAGACAGGGTGTTTCAAAACAATGGACCCAACTTCAAAGCTGTAGCGACTTCAAAATCGGGTCAATCGTTTTGAAAAGCCCTGTATACATTAGTAGAAATAGATAGAGATATTTGGCAAAAGAGAGAGAAATAGTTGGACCGAGAGAGATTTGAAACCCACCTCCATCCTTGATGGCCGGGAGTTCCTCCTCCTCCAGAAGAAAGTCGCTGGACTTTGGGAACCCCACGAAGTGACTCTTCAGTTTCCACACTTTGGCCAGAACCATCTTGGGACAGGGCAGCGTGTGGCAGAGCGTGGGACTGAAAACGGGAGACTATCCGCTTCTCTCGAATGGAGATAACGCTAATCACACACGCACACAGAGAGAGGGAGAGAGAGGGTAAGAGGGTAAGAGAGACTTTAGACTTCGATTTAAAGCTTTCGTGACTGCAGGGATTCATCTTCTTGGTTCTTTCGGTAAAGTCATCACGTAGAAGGGAAGTAATAAAATAATAAAAATAAAACTTAATAAAATAATTCTCACGACGTTTCGGCCACAACGCAAGCAGCCGTCTTCAGGTCAAGAATGATTTTATTGTTTTATTTTTATTCTTTTATTACTTCCCTTCTACGTGACTTTACCGAAAGAACCAAGAAGAAGAGACTTTAGACTTGCATCCCACTGGGATATTTGCACAGGGTTGGTGTACGGTGATTTTTATTAAATCCTTTATATTAAGTTCACTTGCTTGCGTGCTTGCGTGCTTGCTTACGACCGTGCAAATCTTTCGGTCGTTTTTTAACTCCACTTCCCGTGATCCAATCGAGCTGACATTTTGCACACAGACTCGTTGTGCGTGACAATTTATTTGTCATCTAACGTGCTCGGTCGTCAGCGTGGCTTGTGCGACCACCACCACCACCACGTGACGATTTTGTGTGTGGTGTTGTGCGTCTAGCGCCGCGTGGTGCAGCGCGTGGATTTTATCTTTATTGTGTTTTGTGTTTATGTGTGTTGCTGGTGACTTTGTTTCGTTTCGAAATTGCCGAAAGTGTTGTTGCTTCTGGCGGCAATAAGTGGTTTAAAAGTTCATGTATTAGGTGTAGCCCTGTGAGCCATTGGGCTCTTGAATCGGGTGCAACCGCAACAAACAAAAAACTAAAACATGAACAAGAAAACATCTTATAGTGACTATGTGCAAACAGAATCCAAGAAAAGACAGAAAAAATGTACCCGTAAAAACAGTTTTTCACTATAAATCCTTTATATGCGTGGCGGCTAGAGTCCTCTCGTCCTCTGGCTTGAGATGGCTGCCACCTATGGGTCAGATGAATGTCTGCCACCATTAAGTAATTGGTAATTAAATATAATTTATTTTTTCCTAAACAGTGTAAAATTTTGGAAAACATTTTTCACAAACATTAATTGTCACGCACAACGAGTCTGCGTGCAAAATGTCAGCTCGATTGGATCACGGGAAGTGGGTTAAAAA